GACATCGAAGCTTTAGGATTTAAACACGTATTTGAAGCATTTTAAGATTGACGTATATCGACATCGAAGCTTTTTACAATTTAAACATGTTGGATTCGAACCATTTTAAGGTTGAATAATTTCAAGATTGACGTATTGACTTCGGATCTCTTCCTTCTCTCGGATTGCTTGTTAAGATTGCACGTTTTAACAGAATTCACAATTTCACTTCATAATTTGAAATCGTGGAGTTGTTGTTGGATAGTTTTTGGTCGATTCAATTTTCATATTTGTTTTTCATATTTATATCGGAGTGTGCGATTTTTGCACATTGGTTTTTCTTCTTCTGTCGACCTTAAATAATATAATTAAACAAAGGTTCCGTGTCCTCCTTTTCAATTTCGATTCTTCCGAACAATTGACCGCGACGCTACAGTGGCGGCCGAGTCACGCGCCTGTACCATGATTATCCGCCTGGCGGTGCACGTCTGACCATGCATCTTCCTTTCCACTTTTCCCAGACGTCCGGACGAAAGGAGGATGCGTCGTCGTGGCGGCGTTCTACGACGCTCGAGTGGAAAATAACGTCGGATTAAATTTACTGGCGGGTGGTGGTGGGGTGGGGGGGGGGAGGGGGCAGCTATGCGACACGTAGCGAGCCAATGGCCGCGAAACGTCTTGTAAGACGCTCTGATACGCGCTTACTGGACAGGTATATTGCTGGGAACCGGATCTGGTCGATGCAAGAGCAGATGGAAAGCGGAGCGTGTTGCAATCTCGCTGCTATCGAATTTCCTCCTGTCGATCCTTTTGTTGTCCCATGATCCTCCCTCTATCCCCTTTTCAACGAGCTTCTGGTAAATAATAGAGGGTTGGAATGCGCCCTGGGTCGACGCCGGAGGGGAATCAGATAGTGGAATGCTCGCAGGACAACGGAAATCGCTCGTCGTGTGGCCAGTTTCTTTTTTCTCTTGGGTCGATGATGTCACGTTGGGCCTAGGGAATTTTTATAGCGATTGGCGACCCCATTTTAGAATAAAAAAATTAATTTGTCTGCGCCAGTTTTTTTCTTTTTTTTTTTCTTTTTTTTTTAACGAAGGATTGATTAATTGTTTGTAATAATTGCAGCGAATGTTGCTAATGTAACGTAGGGTGGTTGATATCAACTTGTTTATCGATATTCGTTGATTTAATTATCAACATATATTATATATTAAAGAACCTCTAGCAACCACTGAAAAGGGTACCAGCGTAATTTGATTGATAAATTAAAGTATAAATAGCGCCAGGGCTGATTGCGTGAAAAGTTTTGCATACTCTCCGAAAGCGCCTGTATTATGCAACCAGCCCGACCCAGGGGCGTGACAAGTTACGAAATTGGCGTGGAAGTTGTTCGTGAAACGCGGCAGCCATGATTTAACTCCAGCGACACGATATTTAAATGTTTTAACGTGTAATTCGTTCTTTTCTGTTTCCAGGAGCGTGTTACGCCGAGTTCGGGGTGCGAGTGCCCCACACATCAGGCAGCGCTTACGTGTACAGTTACGTGACAGTAGGCGAGTTAATAGCATTCATTATCGGATGGAACATGGTGCTGGAGTACCTTATAGGTACGAGCGCGTGTGCCTGCGCCCTTAGCGCCTGCCTGGACGCCCTTTCCGATGGCGCCGTTTCCGGCGCGATAGCCAGCAGCGTCGGAACCATTTTTGGTGAGATGTTACTCAACTTCTTCCGCCGCATCAATCATTTCGGGAATCGTCGAGTCTTTCGAATCTATTTTCAACTAGATTCGAGAGAATTCTTGCAGTTCGAATAACTTTCAAAGCGAATACAAAATAATCGGTTAACGAATTTGTGCGAAGTTGTAGTAATTTTAACTTTCGTTTATTCTTGAAAGATGAGTTTTAAATTTCCTTGGTTGTTGGAGTAATCGCCGTAACTTCTTCGTTTGTCCAGCCCCAAAAAGCGTAAAACTCCAATAGTATGTGTAATGTCTAACTATGCATAACTTTAAAAAACGATCCGAACAATTCTCGTTCGGTTTTATAAGAGCCATCTAAATAACAAAATTCAACTCTACCGTCCACTAAAATAAAAAATAGAGGGGGTGGAAGGCTTTCTGTTTACCCCGTAACACTCACTCCAAACAAATCTCTTACATATTAAACAACTACATCCCTGGACCATCTAAATACGACAAAAATAAAATCCGTATCTTCGTTACGAAACCATGGAAAAATAAATTCGCATAAATACCAACTCTCGAAGTCTACATCTGTTTAATACCTGAGTACAATGCCTGAATATATTACTAATTGATACAAAACGGCATTAATGAGTTTTCCTTTGAATCGGTACCATCGTCGACCGTAACGAGCGGTGCGGGTCGTTAGTTGATAAAAAATAGGAAGAGGGTGGTGGTGGGGGGTGGGGGAGGGGAAGAGGAGAAGGAGGAGGAGAAGCAGTCGAGTAGAAAAATTTGCATCCCCGGGTCGAGTGCAGCGATATGAAAGAGAGAGCATTCTGAAGTTTATTTCTGCCCCGGTTGGACGCCATGGCCGTTAGACACACGAGGAGAAAATTAAGGCGGGTTTCGCGTGCGTCAGACAGATGGTAGAAATGTTTTTGCGTTTCTAACAGCCCGATGATGTATGGCTTTATGTCCCTTGTCAGATACGGCGAACATATCGAAGTTTTTCTAGTTCAGTAGCTGAGTGGAGCACAGGTCCCCAAAGGGGGCATCGGTGCCTTCTTGAGGGCGGAGGGGGGGCTGAGGAGATTTTGAGGGTGCTCTGTTGGGGTCTGGTGAAGGGCGCTGTTGGGCCTGGTGACAGAAGGAGCCTAGAAACAGTGGAAGGTGCTTCTAGACCTAGTGCAGTTCGATGCAGTTGGAAGTAATGCAACGCAACGCAATGCAATGCAATACAGTGCAATGCAGTTGGATGAGTCGTAACGCAATTGACTGCAATTTCTCTAAACACAATTTTGAATTTCTCTTTTAAATTTTAAATTTCTCCCCACCGGTCCTATCTTGTCTCTCGACGAAAGCTATTCAAACGTCACCAGACCATGAAATGTCGTAGGAATCGTTTATAGTATAAACAAGGTTCCCCATGCATGGAAAAAATTAGTCCATTAGTCTTATTTCTACATCTGTTACTGGCATAGGTAACGAAGGAGTAGAACGTCGTTCTATTTCCAGTGGTATCGATCATGGACAGTTGATTCTACTCGGCCGTCTGACCGTGTAAGGTACTATTCTACTTGCTGGGATATTGATCACGCGTCGGTTTCGTCTAACTACGTCATACGACGGAGCAACAGATCATTCTACCATGACATAATTATACTAAAAATAAAGCACCCGTGCTGTTATGCATTCATGCCGACATTACGATCATTGTACTGCGCCTAACTGACCTGATGAGGATTTATTGCCCTCGCGAAACCGTTTCCACTGTTGTCTGACCAGGTGTGACGTGATTCCACTAGGGATTAGTTCAACGAAGGAGAAGCAAACCATTATTTTTGGTATATGTAAGGGTAATGATAAAAACTATTCCGTGGTTCATACTTTGTTTCTTTGTAAACTATTTTCCTTTATGTTTCAATTGTTGGAATCCGGAAGCGTTAAGAGAGGGCAAAATTTTGGGATTATATAAATTCGTGTCTGTAAAAAGAATAACCCAAGAAACACTTAATATCTGTACTTCAACAATTTTAATTTAGAACAATTTGCACAAGCGAAATGATAATGAAAAATATAATACAAAATTGGTGGTATGTTTCTTTGAATTGTACAGGGGTTAAATAATCCTCCTACATATTTTATCATCCCCTAAATAATTCACAATTGAGCTGAACATACATGGGCTAAATATATCTTCTTGTACAGACCAGTAAAATATATTTTATTCTCGAAGTTTTAAATGAAACAGTATATTTATTATTCATTAACTGGCATCTAAATTTGTCCTGTGACGCCTGCAAGAATTGCAACCCTGTTTCAATCCTTAAAAATGTTTATTAAAATATGTAAAAATAAACAAACACCGAGTTTTATTCGGAAAATACTTTAATTTACATATTCAATTAAAAAGATGTCACGTTCGATAGGGCGATACATGATAACGCGATGGCTCAATATGTCTCGAATTGTTCGAAGACATCCCCTGGAATGGTTCCATACGACAGTATCAATTCCAAACGGAAACGGTAGTAATGGTATCGATACATGTATCGATTCTATCGCCAGCAATTCTGTCTCCACGGAACATATCTGATGAAACAGAAATAGTCCCTTCAACAACGAATTGCTATCTTCACGTTGCTTCGCTGGAATTGAAACCTAAATTGTGCGGATAATGGAATCTGAAACTCATTGGATTGAACAAATTCTGATTTCAAATTTGTTTGACTCCTTTATGTAGTTTAAAATTTCTCTTTGTAGAGTAACTAATAACGTACAATCCTTTTACTTGAGATTCTACGTTCTTGTATTACGAAAAATTTTACTTAAAAATCTCCTTTAAAAATTTTAAAAATCTTCTTTTAAAAATTCATGAATCTTTTTTTGGTTAGTAAACAAATTTGAAAAAAATCTCAGAGAGGTATTTAATAAAGTACTATAGCATGTACGAATTTCAGCTGAATCAAACAAAGGGTTGAATTAACAAAATTGGTCGAAGTGACGTGGAATGCCCCAAACATAAACGCGATAGAGGAGAAATCGAAATGTTAAGGGCAGACTGTGGTAACTGACAAAAAATATCGGCGAAACATGTGCAACATTTGAAGTGGTATACTTCGGGGAGCTGGGAATAGGATATCGACTCGTAAAAAAAAAACACGGGATGGTTGCTTTCACAAAGAGAAGCAAAATGGTTCGGACGGAATATATCGGACGAGAAAGTTCTGTCCGTATTTTTTTTTTCTTTTTTACCATATTCATCCCTTACGAGGATCGTAAACAGCCCTCCCTTGAGGTCGGACACATCTTACAGAATCTCGAAATTGTTCCTTTAAAAGTTTCATGATTCGAGATTGCTATGCAACCTCGGAGCATTGTTGGGGGAAAAATTCTGAACAAACTGGGCAATTTTTCCAATAACTAGTTTCGTTGTTTTAACAAAGATTAAAAAATGCGGGACTACCAAGGTTGTTTATTCATTTATTTGATTATATATCTATTTTTTTGCTTATTTATGTGTCGTGTAATGTAGATGTGTAAATAATTATAGGGTTAAGGGTAACTGGTTAATATTTCAAAGAAAAAGAAGTCAAAATCCAAGAGATTCATTTTTATTGCAGAACCGAAGTGAAGGAAGTGCTATGAAAATGCGATCGACTGCAAAGCAATGTATTTGGATGTGTTTGGATGAAGTTGAATGCGATGCAATGCAACGCTAACTCTTAAAATTCTCGAATAGAACGAATATCTCTTGTCGAACGATATTTTCCTCAATACTCTGAGGAAAAAGACCCCAAGACGGTACACTCCTAAACAAATTACCGATCGTTATCAACGCTACTGAGCGAAGATTCCCTGAAATTGAGATGTTAAAAAAAGATCACCCTAAAAAAAAAAAAACCGAGAGGCATCCTTCGACATTCCACATGGACAGAAGATTTGCCTTCGTCGGTTGGGTCGAATTGATTTCCCTTCCTATGGAAGGGAAAGGGAGATTACACGTGTCGTCCAAGCGGGTTACAGTAAATTTCGTGAAAAATGCTAGCGACCCCATCCGCCATCGCGTTGAGGCTTTCCTCTTTCGCTATTCCGCGAAAGAGGAAAGAGCTCGGTTCACCGCTAAATTAATTCCATGGAATTGGATCAAGCTCTCCATTTAGCCGTGTCACGGGTTTACTGGCGGTCGCGATAAACGGGTGAAACGCGATTATTAAACGCCATGACAGAGGCCCTTTTCAATGGAAAAAGTGTCCTGTTAGGTCAACACCATTCATCCAGTTCATTGTATTATTAAGCTCCCAAATGAGTAATTGATCTTTTTTTTTTTTTAAGAAATCAGGAGATATTTTTATTTATTTATTAGCAATGTCAATTATTATCGATGACAAGCGTGAAACATTTTTTATTAGTCTGCTCTATTTTCAAGAATTTCAATGTTATAATTTTTGTATGGAACGCAATATTTTTATTTAATTATGTATTCTCCATGTTTATCAATGACCTTTAATCGAGCTAATAACATCGATATTAGTCTGCTCTGTTCTCAAGAATTTCAATTTTATAATTTATGTAGCCTTCATATTTATTATAGACCTCAGATATCTTCGAAATATGACTAAAATATAAAATGCCATTAAATACCTTATAATAACTATGAAATATAAATCGTTGACATCTAACGTCACCCTAAATTTCATTGAAATCGCTTGAACCGTGACATCTTCCCTAAACGAACGTTTATTTAAAGTTACTCAAGCAGCAACCGGCTCGGGTATTCGCGGAGGAACGAGTACGAAGTCTGGACCACTGAAATGTCACGGAATAATGTCAACAAGGCTCGCGGTCGCGTCTCCAGGCAAAAGTAATTCACGTACCTCTGCCTCCGCCCTGGCAATTATCAAGTTCCGCCTATCGAGCAGAGCAGACCGAAGAAATTTCGCTCGAACAACAAGAAACTTGCGTCTGGGTTGCAAGAACCCTGAACCAGTCACGGCAACGTGCGATACGCTGATAAGACAC